CTTATATTTTTCTGCCAGAATCAGCTCAGTCGGCATACACTCTCAAAGGCGGGCGAGTTCTTGTCGATTTGTAGAGACTGTAGAGGTTGCAACATTCGCATTGGGACGCACACAACACGTCCAGCAGTGTCAATCTCATTTCAAATGGCCACTTCGACTTGGGATTCTTCCCTGAAAAGCCGGAGGAAATTACTCTTTCATTTCTCAACAGCTGTTGCTACTGAGGAGTACAACAGCAACAAATCTAAAATAGAGTCCGCGACCATAGCGCAGGGAACGGAGATTTCGGTGAGAAGTGCGTCAGAGGAGCTCTGGATTTTCCGAAGAAGTTTAAAAGGAAAAGCAGGGAATATGCCCGTCCATAAATAGTGTTCTCTTCCCATATTCAGTAGCACTATATCGTGACCTTTTTTATCATAAGTGTAAGGAGGATACGGGAAGTCTCATTTGCTACTGACAGTCGCCTGTGGCGATAGCGGATTTCCTTCGCTTGAGCGGGTGGGACTTTGGTGATTCGTGTTCCAATATCCGGGCTTCGAATTAGTCGTCACCTTTGTAACAGGGGTCAAGACTTTTGTTGGGTTACATGCAAGCTACCTGGAGTTCGTTCAGGCCTGTGACGACAACGATTGCGTTCAAAAGTTAGGCCATTTATCTCGTACAATTATTATCGAAATTACTATTACAATTGTTATTGCGTAGCGCCTATGATAATAATCTTACATAACTCTATTTTTTGAATTGTCAAACTACGTTTCATTGCTCGAGACACGAACCTATCCTGCTGTCTCCATGTTTCGTGCCCATTAGTGTATGTCTGTGCTTGTGTGTATTTAGCTATCAAGACTTTTTCAATTTACGCTTGTGTAGGGAGGTGATCTTCACTATATATCTAACGCACTCGTCTGCGGGTATGTCCTTCTTTCTGTCGTGAAATCGATATCACCTGAAGAAGTTTCATGTTTTTTACGTTATAACTGTGTATTTTTTGCCTAAGCCTGAGAAGAAAGAAGCTCCTGGATGCGTGAGCCCATACGATGTATGGATGTAAAAGATCCTGTGTGATTTTGTCGTGCTTGCAGAATAATTTTGTAACCAGCAAATCTTGTAGTTTTATTTGAACCGCAAAATGACTACACAAACTTCGCACAAGCACGGAGATGAAACATCGATTCGAAGACGAAAAGCATGGTTATTTCTACAGAATATACAAACATAACTCTATAGGTGCGCCTGGCCGAATAACGAACTACACGATTCCTCTTATCAAGTTGATTGACAGCGAATGGGAACGAAGAGGGAAAAATACAGACTGGGCATGAGGGTCGAAGATAGAGGTTGAGAGGGTGCGAAGCGGAAGGCAACAGTGCAATGAAAGGCTTGATGGACTGCTGCGGTCCAGATTTTTGAGCAGAGATCGGCTCAGAGGTGATGCTACGAGTATGCTGAATATAACGGCTTGTAGTAAAGAGCTTCTTAAGCCGCCACCGATGACGGTATCGCCGTTTTCGTGAGAACTCTCATCGGATCACCCATTATGGACAAGGCACACACGGAATCACATGAGGACCACTTCAAGGCGAATAGCTGCTATACAAAAGGCACTCATAATTCACACGCACCCACACATACACACACAGAAACACACACCCAGAAATAACTGTGAGAGACAAACTGACGTTAAAATAAAACGCAGTACAGAGCAAAAACCAACAAGCAACAGAAAAATCAATCAGAATGGGAATATTATGGCGGAACTCATGGCTGAGAGAAGATCAAATTGACACAGAATGAATAAGCATTGTGGATATTATACATATATAAATAAAGTATGAGTGGATCTCACCGTCTTGGCGGAGCACATCTTTCAAACAGTGCTGACGGTAGAGGGAACAATACTGTGGGCGGTCACAACTGAGAATGGGACCTGATTATAAATCTCAATATGAGCATTTGAAATAGACTAGCTGTACCCTTCCAGCGACTATGAAAAATGGAGTGTGAGCGGAATAAAAATGAAGAACCGAATAAAACGATGAAAAACACAGAAACGTAACATAAGCATGACAATGAGATTGTAAACTGACGCCAAGGACAGATTTTCGGTGCAGTTGGATCGGTCGAGATTGGCCTTTTCTATGAGAACTCTGATCGAATAGGCGCAGAGTGGAGGTGAGAGGAGAGATTTCTGATAATATTCAGACTCAACTGTCAGAAGCAATTATCTTCTGTCTTCTGATTATTGCTATAATATTGTTCCCATTTGCTTGATCCAGTTCGATGTTTTTCTTGAATTGAAGTTATTCATTCAGATTAAACTTCGAAAAGCACTCAGGTTCCTCACCTATCATATATGGATCATAATATTAAGAGTCAGTCATCAAACAACGGCTAACAAGTCACAAATTTCATAATTTTGAAAAAAAGGCTGTAGTTGGTGAGATCGCTGATTCTGACCGATCCACCTGCCCTATCTTGGGAACACGATGGGATGAGCGCTTTCGATCAACATATTCACCACTGTTCATATGGAACAATCTTCTCGTCATTAGAGTCGTGAGCCGACTGTTGAGCATCATGCTGTTCAGTTTGCATTTGATAATTACCGATCATGGGATAGTCAAAATTAGGAACATAGTCGTGTCCCGTCGTCAATATCACGCACTGATCCAGCTGAAACTGTAAAAAAATAAGAAAGGTTTCACGAACTCAGAAAAGAATAATTGGTTTCTAACTATTTCGAGATAAAATCAAATTTCCCTTTTCTTCTATCTGCAAAGAACAATCACACGTTCTGCAGAGCGGCATATGCACAGGCTGAACGGCTGCATACATTGCTATGTGTCTGCTAAATTCTGAGATGACTATACGACTACCTTGTTGTAAGTAATATTCCGGAGAAACTACAAAGACCTAAATATAAATATATCGAAATTGTAAATATATCGAATAACGTATGAAGAGTAAACAAGTGGTGCAATCATCTCAAAGACGGTCCGCAATATAGTTCCATTATGATACTATCGTTATGAAATAAGAAAAGGGAATTATTGGATGGATACAGAGGCTGCTAATTGAACAGTTGCGAGTGTTCGGATGGAAGTAGCCTTTTATAATTGTATAACTGGTAGTTCTCTTCTCCTCTCTTTCTCCTCTCTCCTTCACTGAGAGTTTTTTCTCAGTGGAGGTTGCCGGGAGGCGGCATGGGGCTGCCTCTAGCAATTGAATCCCTAGTCAACTAGGGATAGCATGGCTAGTTACAAGCAGTCTACTCAGAATCCACGCCAAAGCCTGACAGGCAACTTGTGGGTACACATGTGACAAAAGCAGATGTATTATATAAATGGCTTAGGACCTCAGTCTACTGAACTTGAGGAAGCCCCCAATACCTGAATGTTGGGTAGGACGGCTCCGAAGATCCTGGTGAGGATTCGAAACTCCAAAGGAATTTCTAGAGTGAGAGGCGATTTGTGCTCTGTACGTGGAAGATCTAATGGTGTAATCCAGGAAGACCAAACACAACAACAGCGGATTGACCAATAAAAGAAAGCACCGCTCGCTGCACTCGTTTTTGAGAAGATTCCGTTTGACATTGATGAGGAACAGCCTACTCGTCAACAACCTTCATGATGATGCCAAGGAAACGGAGAGTCTACACTATGTCAAGAGAGACCTGTCTTCGGAGACTTTTGAAGTGACACGATAGGGTAGAATGACACGAGCTGCAGGGACTCACAACTAATGATGTCCGAACTTGGGAAGTTATGCAGAGAAACGATGAGAGAAGGTCTGAAAGAAAAGTGCAGCAATTCTAGTGGCACCGAGGCTTGGAAAAAAATACGAGTGCCTTTCGAACCGTTGCCAGCTACTAGGCTTGGACATCTTCCCTTTGTCATTCTGACGGAACAGTAACATTGTCTATGTAAAAAGGCTACGGAGAAGGACATCCACGTGTACTCGGATCTTGACAACAGCTACGTCTTCCTGCCTACCTACCATCCCATTCAGACTGGATATGTCGTCCCTCCCGAAACTTAACGCGCCATCATGTCGATACGGCCTTTCATGAAGAATTGTACGGCGCCCGCTCGTAATAGGATCAAACTAGCACTAGCAGGACTGCGTTGATGTACAAGAAGGGGGTCCAAAAGATATCAACAACAATCGCCCATCTACCTGTTGTCTGTAATCTACACGCTTCTCACACTCGTCGCTATGAACAGGACTGGCAGAATACTAGGTGGACAACCATGCGAGTAAGCAGGGTTTCGGAGAGGGTTCAGTACAATCGATCATATCCACACCGTTACAAGGCTCATTGAAGTATTGCGAGAGTACAAAATCAAAAACTTACGCCCATTCATTCAAAAAAGGAATTAACTATTATAAGCAGAAGTGATAATTGAACCCTTAAGCAAAAAAGGTGTTCTTACTCAAAACATATGGATGCTGCGTGAGCTCTACAATAGCTTCACGACAGAATTTCACCATTATTCGAGGAAGTCATTGTCGCGAAGAGCAGAGTTTGGGCAGAGGTATACCACCTCGCCCAAGCTTCCCAGTGCCGCTCTTAAGACTTTCAGTGTGAATGCATGGGAGTAAAGGTCGACGGCTACTTGATCATCTCCGCTTTGCAGACGACAACTCGCCTGTAACACCTCGTATCGAGCAGAACGAACGAGTACTGGTCGAAGTTGTTAGCGTCTGTGGAAAGATTAGCTTACGACTAAATCTAACGAAGAAGATGTTCACGAAAAACCGATTGGTGATTCATGCCTCTTTCACGCATATCGTAACGAGTATCTCTGAGTCCTCTGGCTACGTGTATCTAGGACGAGAAGTCAAGATCATGGACGATTCATCTCCGAAGATGAGCAGGAGGAAACACGAGGCGGTGGAAACATTCAAGAATATTAAGGGAGTATTGAAGAGCTTAAAAAACATCCGGTTCTGTGCACACGTTTTCGACACGGCGGTCCTTCCTGCTTTGACTTACATTTCAGAGACTTAGACTCTATGAAAGCAGGATGAGCATGCAGTCAGCGCCATCCAGCGCGTTGCGGGAAGGATCATGCTCAATATTTCCCGGCATACGCAAGTGCAGAGGGGAGTACGAAGTTCGTTGATGACGAAAACTAGGGACGCTTTTGCTTCCGCCAAGGAATCAAAGACCAAATAAGCTGGGCACCTCTTGCGATGTTGTTATGACTGCTGGACCAAGACGATTTCTTATTGAATCCCTCGATACGTCTGACGTACATCAAAACAGACATGAGTTCCTCACGAAAGCTTTGAACGGAAGGAATGCTATTCTTTGTGTCCCCTCAGCTAGGACGATTCACTGTTCCACTCTGGCTCGTGACAGGGACAAATAGGAGTGTTGCTGCCTTTCGTTCGAGGACATCGATGATCGACGGGATGATAGGTGACACAGGCGATGATAGGTGGTAGCTACCTCTGAAGAAGAACCTGATGAAGAGCAACAGTTGTGACACAACCCCTTCTATTGAATCGCTTTGATATTGATTGATACTATGTGTATCTTTGAAGGACTAACAATTTGGGTGGCGAATAAACATCGGTTGTTGATTATCCGGTCTAAGCAACACCTTATCGTAAATTTCACCGTAATTTTCCCGCAAACCGCAACGAATCATACACTAGTACACAGACAGAGTAGAAAATAAAGAAATTTGAATAAAATTTATTCTGAAACCAACCCTCGAGAAGGTTGGTTTCAGAACAAAGGGGTAACATGAGTGCAAGGCACGAGAAAAGAGCTCACATCAAGGACTAAAATCTCATTTGATATGCGTGAGAAAGCAATGAGAGGTCGAAATTGAGTTTCGATTGTTAATTGAACTATTCCAAGCATTTTGCCAAATTAAATTACAATTGGCTATTCTAAGCTATTGCTGAGAGTAATAACAAAATTGGAGAAACTGTTGAGTAACAATATTCATTGGTGTGAATCAATAAGTTAGAAGAAGTAACCAGCACTCTAATCTTGGGTTGCCTAACGAAAACAAAAGTAGGAATGCGGGTGAGAGCTGCCCAGCTACTGTACGTAATTGAGAAGAGACATTTGTGCTTTGTGAATCGCGACGAAATAATAAACTAAGGGTCCCAAAATTTCTTTTACCTTGTTGTATAGCACCCTTTATTTGCTGAGAAATACTGGAATGAAGCAAACATTACACTGCCTTAACGTTACAAGAGCAGCTTGAGGCTCTCCAGAAATCAGTTATGCGCATCACATCAAAATCACCAATTGCTTCAAGAAAGAAAAAAAAGCATGAAGTTCAAAAGTTGAGAAATGATAAGTCTGAGAAAAATTGAAAAAATGACACATTCCTTGAGAATGTGTACTTTTACTCGGGTTAGAGGAAAATCATGTCTATGAAGTCAAGCTAATCTGTGGTTTCTACACGACCAAATGCTGTTAGGTCGTTGGGAGAGTATTTTCGATATTTAAGAATGATTTTTTTCAACGTGTTCTGGAAGCTTTTCAAACTGTACGTTGTACTTTTTTTCGAGGAAATTGCACAGATTCATCCCCATTTTGATTTTGAAACCAGTCTAAACATGGATTGTCAGACGGAGTCTTCCGGCACATTTCACTTTTTTACTTTTGTCTCGAATAAAAATTGCTGGTGTCTTACTCGATATAAGTATGACATAGGGCGACGAAGTTACATTACAGAGCACACGTGATAATTCTTCGAGGGTGTTATTTGGAGCCAACCCTCATGTAATTCATGTAAGAATTTACTGAGGAGGCTAACGCAACCATAAGAATAGTTAGTAGGAATATCTATTACAATTTCGCACTAGTTATAAAGCTATTAGGCTGTGCGGAAAGGAATGCGCGTTTGAATTCAGAAAATTTTTTATTATATAAACGAAACTAAACAAGATCAATTCAAAAGAATTTCTCCACTACTACGAATGACTTGTAGCCTACGTTAAGGCGAAAAATGGATTCTTTTTTTGAAGAACTCGGCCGGCTGCGACTCAAAGTAGTCGGACACCCTGAGTTGCACTTTTATGCGGTTTTTCAATTTTCTCTCGGCCAAGGAGTGCTACATTGAGTGGAGCAAACGGTAACCGGATGGTGCGAGATCTGGGCTGTATGGCAACTGAGGCAGTGCTTCCCAACCCAATCCCTCAATTTTTTTCCAAGGTGGTTTTTGCAACATGTGGACGAGCGTTGTCGAGGAGGAATTTTGTCGACGTCGTTTGTCGACACCTTAACGACGCAGTGCTTGATCCACGCGGTTCAATTGATCTTCGTAAATGTCCGCCGTAACCGTTCGACCCGAATTCAGGACTCAACCTTTGCTGTTGCACCAAACACAGAGCATCATGTTTCTGCCGTTCATGTCCGGTTTCGGAATGGGTTTTGGAGTATCACCGGCGTTTAACCACTGTCTCTTTCGTGTTGTGTTGTCGAAGCAGATCCATTTCCCGTCCGATGTAATAATACATTTGAAAAAACCGCTGTTCTTGGAATGATGACGAAGAATTTCGGCCATCGCCACTTGTGTTGCCTGGTTTGCGTCGCTCAGCTGGTGCGGTAACCATTTTTTGCACCTGTTCGTCGCCAATTGCCAGCAAATGCTCATAGATGGTGAAGTTTGAGCAGCCAACATGTGTTGCCAGTTCTCGGGTGGTTTGGTGTGGATCCAATTTAATGACGGTCTTCAACACTTGGTTATCGACGAATTGAGGCCGACTTCCATGTTTTTCGTCTTCCAAGCTTTCATCACCGTTTTTGAAACGCTGATACCATCGTCGATGACAGGGCTTCTTCGCCGTATACTTCAGATATGGCACGATGAGATTCAGCAGCCGATATTTCTAGCTTGAAGTTGTACCACATGCAAGCCCGCAAATGGAAATTCTGGTCAAGCACCACTTAAACTTTTTTCTTGGAAAAACAAAGTGGACATAACCAAAATATATCAAAAGATGCGCAATGAAAATCTCTTTCTAACAGACAATACTTTTCTAAAAATCTCCTGCAGTAGGGGAGAAATGAATGGACAAATCCAACGCGCATTCCTTTCCAAACAACCTAATAGATGTTCAAGTGCGACATACCTGCAGGAGACACTTCACTCCGTGAGTTTGTATCTGCGAGTTGCGCCTCAAACGCAATAGGGAACACCCATTTATTGGTTGAATACTGGCTGCTGATCAAGGTTGGAATGATTACGGTGATCTTACTCACAAATGATTATAGTAAGTATAAGATAAACCTGCTTATACAAGAGTCAAAGCGTCAAAGTCATCTTCATCAGAAGAAGGTCATGACACCAACTTGTTGGAATCACAAGGCAAAATATAGCTTGAAGTGCTTTCATGGTATCAGATTGGTAACTTGGACTTCTACTTGACAAAACTCCAGGAAACGGTCCTTCAAAATCAGGAAGAGTAATGTTATGATGTGGTCAGGTCAGATCGCATACATTTGCGGAGACTTGACAAAAAATATCAAAGCATGGTTGGAAGGTGATGCTACATGAACCACATATTGCGCAATCCGCATACCAATCATTTCAGCAATTGCAGAAGTATTCCGATTGGACCTTTACTGAATTTGAAGATATCAAATCAAATGTGGAGAGCGGGGACAAGCTATGAAATTACCACAAGGAAAGCAAAAGATAACCGCACAAAACGGGGTATATACCATTGATGAAGGTTTGCAAACGAAAAATTGTATTGTGAAACGCTCAGGAATCGAGATGACTTTCTAAACGACCCAATCTCACAGATTCGCTCGGCTAGATTCACATCAGCTCAGCATAGACGTCTGAAATAAACTTCACGAAACTCTGTGGCTTTTTTTCACTGTGAACCACTTTACTATGTTATTTGAAACGCGTGTTTTTGTATTCTGAGTATTGGACTGATGCCTCATCCACTTCGCTGAGGTATCCTTCGCGTAGACTCAATAATCTGCGCAAGCAAATAAGTAATGTGAATAACGTGAACAAATTATTTCCAGTCAATGTTCAAGAAACTTATAAAATCGCTTCGATCTTAAGGTCGACATCGATCGATATCACTTTGCTGTTATTAACATCCCAGTGCATCCACTCCAAAGGATCCATGAGGTCTACGACTTTGGCAAGATTTTCTTCTCAAAGCTTTCATATGATTGTTTTCGCGCAAGTGAAACTCTTCAGTTACCCCATGATGCTGATATCCGATGCCTTGTGGCAACATCATATCTGGTTGAGTGGTGACAATATATTGCGGATGAGCAACGTTTGGCCCCTCATGTTGGATACTGTAATCCATGGGTACCGAGACGGGCAACGATGTGGACGTCAGATGGTGCACCGATGGCTGAAATGACATCGACTCAGATTCGAAATGAATAGCTTTGTAACCGTTACTAAGTATGATAGCTAGTCTTTTCTGGTAAGTGCGTCCCGTACCTTGCCCACTAAGTAATTGTGAACTGAAACCTACCAGCTGTTGGGGATTGATCGACCTGAAATTCAGCATATTCAGTTGCATCGGTAGATGCACGTTGATCGGTGCTGTCGGCGCTCCGCCCAACGATGACTGAAACCAGCCCATGAGATCGATAGTCTGAATTGCATAGGCGCTCGGTGCAAAAAAGCAGTACCACTTACATCATTCTTTATATCTCCTAATAGCTGCGAATTTAACATGTTATCATCGATGGTGTTCAGCATCGGATTTGAATGACGCGACGGATCCACCTCACTGCAACAATAAGAGTTACTGTTTAGCGGTACTCAATGTAAACGATTAACACCATCGACGACTGCGTGGTGTGCCTGCGGGCCATGGTAGTATTTTCTTTGTTTAGGACCTCTTTTGAAATTCTCGGACTCTCAACTCTCTACTAAGTCATTGACCTTCTTAGGAAACCTCATATACTGCGGTCCAGGAAATACTGCGGTATTTACTTCCAACTAGTGAAATTGGTGAAATTAACCGAACGTACGATACTGCCACTAATTTCTTTCAACCGACGGTTTGCGTCAAATTATCCCGTCAGAAACCACCGCTTCACCGTAACTTTCGCTTACGTACTCCAAGCGAGTTGAATGCGAGGCCATGGAAAAGCTCTGATTGTGAAGAATCCAGATATATAGCAATTTTCCGGTTTTCTCGATTTTATTGCCTCTATTTGTTGGGAAATCAGAACTCTCAGCACCTTAATGTCATATGCGGATATAACGGCATTGTGAACCCTCCACTTCGATTGGAAACTTTGGTATGAGTTCTAAAAACATGAAGGGCACTATACTCAGAAAGAGCACAGAATCCTAATCTTTTTTACATTCTTCATGGTATAATTGTAACACATGCAAGTGAAAACAGTGGTTCAATCACCAATTCTTCAGACATTTGCTAGTTCTTTCTAGCCATGTATTCTGTATGGAGACCATTTTATAGCTCTACCGATAGATGGTCGAATCGCCTCCTAACTCTACGTTGAGCTAATTGACTCATCGCCATCGATCTCTATCGGTCGATCACCTTCGCTGCTGCCGAGTCCATTCAAGAGCACGCCTAAAGACAGAATATAGAAATAATTCAGAAGATTTTAGATTAGGGTATTGAGGCCATGATGACCTGCAAAATTTGGTGTTTGGAAAAGGACATCTATAAAACACTACTCATGCGGCACCACACCAGCTATGATCTTGATGTACTTGAATGAAGAAGCGAAGGCGATGGCCATTAGACATTGAGGGGTCNACTAGCTGACGGCCAACTAGAAGGTGATCCAGCCATCCATCTCATCAGTTAACGACAAAAATAACACAGAAACATAATACCAAGTCCCTTCAACCATGACCTTTTCAGGCCCTACGATAGATGGTACTTTTCAGGCCTTATCGTAGATAGCGAACAATAGAAGTAGTCGTGAAGTATGCATCACTACCGCGAAATTTAGAAAAAATCATGGTGACCCCATTCCTACTACATAACTTGCACATATCCCTCATCACATGATCCGAGCCTCCAAGTGAGTCGAGAATGTTTGGTTTCTATGAAAGGCACCGCTGGGAAGAATCAGCATATTTTCCGAGAATTTGGAATCCGAACCTTTGTTATATGCCGAATTTGTCGAATTTCTTTCATTAGTGGCATTGAAATGCCCTAATCCTCGAATATAGCGTCGTAATCTTTCAGACACTAAAAACGGAGTTTCCAGATGGAATGGTGGATCTGAGATGCTGTTATTTTTTGTTTTTATTTTTATTATTATTTTCATTATTGTTATTTTTCTAGGAATGAAGACAAAAAATTTGATGAATTTGGAAAAGTTTATAAAATATCATGGATTCATTACGAGCAGAGCTTTCTGCTGGGCTTAATTTTAACTTGACGGGAGCACTTTAGCAAGAGCTATCACGAAGCGACAGTAAACGAATCAATCCGTCGCAAACCGTCGGTTGACCACGAATTAGTAGCAGTATTAATCATGTAAGAGCAATATGATAACGAGCGAAACAAAGCGTCAGTAACTCATTAATTACCCCAACTCTGGTGGTATTTTAGAGAACACCCAAAACGCAAATATTTGTGGCACTTGCTACATCTTGACTAGTTTTTCTCTGCATGGTTCACGGCATAAGTACGACCTTAATCCGCAAAATTCCTTATGCCAGCCGGAGAATCTTCACCAGTCTACTTCCGTACCGCTCTCTTCGATTTCTCGCCCCAATCGTGGATGTTCTTGGCGAGTCAGGTTCGCTGAGTGAATAATTTCTCTCGCAATGCAGAAAAAGTACCCACGAATCCATGACTACTACTTGCGTAACCAAATAAAAAAATCCGTATATACGTCATGGTGCGACGCAAAAAGAAGCGAAGCTAAACCGACATCTAATCACTTCGATCAACAAATCCTCCTAGCCTATCGTGGGCTTCCGCGACTATGGGTTTCCTTTAAGGAATAATTTCATTTTCATGCGGAGCTGACATCATCAGAACTTCTTTTTTTCTCTCTCACTTCAATACAAGAACACCGCCCCTCGTGCGGCAATACAGCTCGCCACATTCTGGTCTTTTCCTCGACAGGTATCGGTGTCCAACGACGATTTCATTCCAAAGTTGCGTCCAAATGTGTTCTCGTTTTTGGTGTTTCGGCAAGTCTAACACAACTGTACTATTTAGCGCAGCAAAGCTGTATGCAGTTATCTATACGAGAAGCGTCTGAGAAATCACCTATTTCTGAAACTTTATCCGATAGGGATTGGAAAAGTAAGAGATAAGATAGAGTTACCTGTCATACCTGTTATAGATGTGCATCAAGAGACTGTTGTTGCTATTTACAAGAGTGTCTAATGAGCTCGTGTCAAGATCAAGTTGGTGATCTGACGGGGGCATCAAAGCACTCTGAAAGGGATTCTTGAGTCGACTATAGGGACGAAAATAAAATTTAGAAACGAACCGCTTGCAGTGGTTGTGTAATCGGGTTTAAATGGAGCGTGCCAACAGCGTGATTCGGAGACGACTGGAATGTAAAAGTTGGACACTGAAGAATAAAAAAAATTTATTAATACCGCGTTCAACCACTTTGAACGTCCACAAAGGATACCTGAATAAGCAAATGGCTGAACAGTCCTGACATGCTTGTTCTATAGAGAAGTGCGCAGAACACGCTCCAAGAAAGAAAATTTCACTGTCTTGTGCAATAGTGCTCCTAATTCATGGTCAACTGACGGTTTGCGACGGATCAATCCGTCGCAAACCATCGCCTCGCCTTAACTTCAGTTAAAGTACACCAATCAAGCTGAAATTAAGATCATCGGGGAGCCTTTCTCGTAAACAATCCAAACATATGATGATCTTTCGATTTTCTTAAGCATTTCGCCTTCATCTCCGGGGAAAACGAAAATTGAGTCTTCAGCACACTGGGTGTTACTTGCGGGTATGACAGCATCGTAAACCCTCCATTTCAATTATAAACTTCGTTTCCAGTTCTCATAATAAAAGGCCTGAATCGTGATATAGTTGAGGGAGCATAGAATTCTGATCATTTTGATACCCTTCATGTCATAATTTGAACACTTTAAACTGAAAGTAGCGGTGCAAAGCAAATTACCAGGTTTTCAGACGTTTGTTATATCTTTCAGCCACGAATTTCGTACGACGACCGTATGATCACTTGTGGGGGAATCCTTTCATGGCATGAGTTTTTAATTCCTTCAATTTTGCAGCATCATTTTCATGGGGTTCAAATGTGAGTGTTCAGCACCTGAGGTGCTCTCTGCAGATCTCTCCATATATAATCCACAAGTTCGGTGTGTCTGTTTGTATGTATGTATGTATGTATGTATCATGTATGTATGCATGTATGTATGTATGTATGTATGTATGTATGTAT